AATTTTTGTTTATAATTGTCAGATTTTAAACCAGAACACAATACAAATAATAACTGTAGTGATAGTGAATTATGCAATAGGAATAGTTGCTGCTGTATGTGTTTATACGTTAATTACCTTTCGTTCATTTGTTCTTTTACAAATTGCTTATATGTCAAGTTCTGTAGATACAAATAGTGGAAATTCAAAGATGGAAAAGCCAGGCAGTTGATTGTACACCAGAATTCAAGATCTTTGACTTTAAGGTGGAATTGTACGAAGCACCATCAGTAATAATATTTTTAATATGTGCGACAATGATGGGATTCTTTACTTGGAAATTATATCAGCAATTTGGATGGAATATTTACAAAAGAATTGGTGCTGATCGTAATATGCAAAGTAATCTTTTTAAAATTTTTCTCGATCTGTTATTGACTATATTTATTATTTATGATTTATTTATTTATTTTTTATTTATTTTATTTTATTTTATTTTTTATTTTTTATTTTTTTTTTTTAGAAATTTACAGAACAATGTTAATTTTCGTCATGCATTTAAAACTGGATCTTTTCTTTATGGTGGTTTTGTCTGTAGTGGCTTGTGTAGTACTCTCACAGCCTGAAAAGCTTAAATCATCATCACCAGTTTTGTTTTGGTTCCATGTAATAGTAACAGCTTTAATATTTATCTTGCAAGCTCTCGCTTATCGTATGGTAAGACTTGATATTTGTGTACAAATTTCGTTATATTACTTAGTAACTTATAATTATGTTGAATATAAAAAAAAAGTTAAGAGAGGAATCTAATTTAGGAATGAAAATATTTATTGGTTTATGGTTAATACCGATTGCCGACTTCATAGCTCTTCTCGTAAAATCAATTGGCACAAGTGCACAAGATAGTTGGTATTTTTTCATAATCTTTAGTAAGTTCCTATTCCAACCGTTTTCATTGTCATTTGCTAATTTTTCGAGGACCAGACATTAACAATTTTAACCATTCTATTTCTATCATATATAGTTGTTTTTGGTATTATAATGGCATTGGTGAGCATGATATTATTTTAATATTTGTGTATTAAAACTTGTATAATTCTTGAATTTTAATTTTAATTACTAAAAATATGATCTTTAAAATAGTTGACGCTAGTATGGTCAATACTTGTATTAAACAATTTTGACAAAGGACTAAAACGACATTGTAATTATTCACCCCCCTTTTTTGTTTTTTTTTGTCGATTTTTTAATCTCCGTTTACATAACACTGATCAACAAACACATACTTTTATAGTAACGACAGGTATAGGTGACATACAATGTCCGCGGGATACGGAACAAACTTCGGAAACGCAACCTCCGGGTCGTTGGGCAATTGATGAAGATTGACCAAATATATACTCTTCAAACCCAATTTTCACATCATTCAAAATTTTCATTCAAAATTATCCATTAAACATACTACCGTAAATACATTCCTCTAACTTGAAAATTTTACAATATTAATCTTAAGTACTTGTAACTTTAAAGATTCCATTGGTTTAAAACTATTGTAATAAATATAATGTATATTAGTTTGTTTAACAATTTCAATTATTAACGTTACGTGTCCAATCTTTGGTTAAAATCTTGAATCGTGTATCAAATTTCTCACGTGCATTTTGAAAAATTATAAATGACTTTTGATCTACGTAAAATTTACTTAAATATGAAAGGATTAGTTGATTATACATCATCTTCAGATAACGATAGTGAAGAATTAGATCATGATATTAACCAAAGTAAAAAACGTATTAAAGAAACTCCACGTTCTGAAAACAAAAATAGTGTTTGTGGAAAAGGCG